GGTAGGTAGCTTACAATAACGGTCAATATTACAGTGAAGAACTAGCAACTTTATTGCGCACATCCAGCTGGGATAGTGACCCAGTGAAAATATCCTGTCCCCAAAGTGTGCGGGGCCCTTTGCTCTAACCCAGAAAAGTTCTCTGTGAGTTTCCTACCATAGTTACTTATGCCTCTGCTTGTCCCTGTTTCATGCTGTTGACTCACAAGGCGGCACTCCCTGCAGGGCCCATTCTGCAGAGTGTGGGGAGAGGAGGAGATGGGGATTGATTGAAGCAGCAACCCCAATAAAAAGCTGCATGATAAAATACAGTCCCATACTTCCTCCAGAGTAGAAATGGGATAACATCTTGTCACTATAGTTAACAGGGACTATATGCTCTAAATAATAGCTATGGTACATCAAACTATTTTAAATCCTTGCTCCTTACATAAGAACAGCCACACTGGGTCAGACCAAAGGACCATCCAGTCCAGTATCCTATCTACTGACAGTGGCCAATGCCATGTACCCCAGAGGGAATGAACCTAACAGGTAATCATAGAATATTGGGGTTGGAAGGGATCTCAGAAGGTCATCTAGTCCAACCCCCTGCTCAAAGCAGGACTAATCCCCAGATCCCTAAATGGCCTCCTTAAGGACTGAACTCATAACCCTGGGTTTAACAGTCCTATGCTCAAACCACTGAGCTATCTGCCATCCATCTCCACCTGCTGATAAACAGAGGCTAGGGACACCATTCCTTACCCATCCTGCCTAATGGACTTAATATCCATGAATTTATCTAGTTCTCTTTTAGACCCTGTTATAGTCCTAGCCTTCACAACCTCCTCAGGCAAGGATTTCCACAGGTTGACTGTGTGCTGTGTGAAGAAGAACTTCCTTTTATTTAGACTCATAGACTTTAAGGTTAGAAGGGACCGTTATGATAATCTAGTCTGACCTCCTGCACAATGCAGACCACAGAATCTCACCCACCCACTCCTGTAACAAACCCCTAACCTATGTCTGAGTTATTGAAGTCCTCAAATCGTGGTTTAAAGACCTCAAGGTGCAGAGAATCCTCCAGCAAGTTACCCGTGCCCCACTCTGCAGAGGAAGGCAAAAAACCTCCAGGGCTTCTGCCAATCTGCCCTGGAGGAAAATTCCTTCCCGGCCCCAAATGTGGCAATCAGTTAAACCCTGAGCATGTGGGCAAGACTCACCAGCCAGCACCCAGGAAAGAATTCTCTGTAGTAACTCAGATCCCACCACATCTAACATCCCATCACAGACCATTGGGCATATTTACCTGCTAATATTTTATTTGTTTTAAACCTGCTGTCTATTAATTTCATTTGGTGGTCCCTGGTTCTTATATTATGGGAACAAGTAAATAACTGTTCCTTATTCACTTTCTCCACACCACTCATGATTTTATATACCTCTATCATATCCCCCCTTAGTCTCCTCTTTTCCAAGCTGAAAAGTCCTAGCCTCTTTAATCTCTCCTCATATGGGACCCCTTCCAAACCTCTAATCATTTTAGTTGCCCTTTTCTGAACTTTTTCTAATGCCAGTATATCTTTTTTGAGATGAGGAGACCATATCTGTATGCAGTATTCAAGATGTGGGCGTACCATGGAATTATATAAGTGTGATAAGATGTTCTCCATCTTATTCTCTATCCCCTTTTTAATGATTCCTAACATCCTGTTTGCTTTTTTGACTGCTGTTGCACATTGCGTGGACGTCTTCAGAGAACTATCCATGATGACGCCAAGGTCTCTTTCCTAACTAGTTGTAGCTAAATTAGCCCCCATCATATTGTATGTATAGTTGGGGTTATTTTTCCCAATGTGCATTACTTTACGTTGTCCACATTAAATTTCATTTGCCATTTTGTTGCCCAATCACTTAGTTTTGGGAGATCTTTTTGAAGTTCTTCACAGTCTGCTTTGGTCTTCACTATCTTTTGTTTGTTTGGATCACTGGCCACTATTCTTTAAATACCCTGCATCCCTAACC